GCTGATGTATATTTCACAAAGACAGTACCAAAAAAAGCATCTAGCTCACATCATCCCACTGCATTCCTACCACAAAAAGTCACATGGAGCAGTGGCTCAAATCTTATTTCTCGCACTTTCTGCCGCTGACATTTTCTTTGCTGCCAGGATGTTAGCTTCAGCTACCACTGAACAGGCAGGCTAATCCATGGCTGCTTCCAGGTGTATTTATAGCTCAGTGACATAACAAACAAACAGACAAACACACTCACACAGGGCTGTATCTGTTGAACATTTGCAGTGACGCTGATGCATTTTGTGTGCCACAGTTGATTTATTAAAGGGGATTTTTCCAAATTTCTGCATAATTAATTGATTAAGATGTAAACATAGTCATTCAGAGTGATGTGAAATGCTTAGTTGTAGAGAAACTCACAGAGTCAGAATTGTTCTCAGTGGTGGTGATCAGAACCAGACGTCCACAGTGTTAAAAGTTCCCTCACCGAAGGTTATTGCAGAAATGGTTATGATGCCTGATGCCTGAGATTGTTTTACAATAGTTTTAAGAAGGTTTTGGCTTAAAGCATATTTTTTTCAAAATCCAGTCATGCCAGAGAGGTGCATACAGGGCATTGTGAGGCAAAATAGACCCCAAAGAAAACGGATGTTCTCAAATTTACCGCTATTACTATTAGAAACATTATATATAAAACTCAGAAGACTTGTGTAAGTTCACTGGTCATTTCGAATAGTAAATTTGTGTATTATATGTGTTGTGTACATTGCGACCCCTGGTTCCTATCTCCTGTTTTTTTAAAGAAATGTGTTAAAATTGAAAGAAGTAGAGTAACTAAGTGAAACACACTAAAACATGGTGTGCGTGTGGTGCTGTGAGTCACCCTGCACAGCCTGAAATAGTTATTTAAAAGTCAGAGGTGTGGGGTTGGATTTCGCAGGAGCTTTTAAGACCAGCATACATCTTTATGTATTAATGTCACATGCATGGAATGAAAAAGAAAGGCTGGCTCGATGCTTAGAACTCAAATGCTAAATAAACATTATACCAATAAAGATATGATGACAATAGAAGTCCATTCACTTACATCCTCGGAAGAAACGTCCTTCACCAAGGGTTCTCTTTGAATACACTGAGTGTGCTCACAATCATCACATTCATCTGCTCAGGGAAGGAATCCGAAGCACAACCAGATGTGGATATGCATTGTAGAGTGTGGTGCAAAACTAGTGGAATGATTGGGGATGATAGGGATGATTAGTTGTGGTTCCATGAACTTTTTAATTGCATATTATCATAACACTTGTACTGACAGGTTTTATTTTACTAAATTTTGGAATTTGGAAGTTTGGAACTCTTTCACCTTCACTATGATTGCTACTTGTTGCATGAAATTTTCCCACCAATGGCAGTGTGTTTTGTAATGACACCAAGTGCAATTTGCACTGAAAATATTTTAATTTTTGCAGCATTATGTAGAACATTTTCATTTTTTAAACATATCTGTTTGGATGCATGTTTTTTTTTGTTCACATTTACAAGTACAAAATCAAATGACATTCTATGTAAATGAAGTGGGTATATTTACTGGTAGAATATTAAATAACAACAAACAAGTGTCTGAATGCTTGTTTCCCTCACTGTATCTAATTTTAAGCAATACATATTTTAATGATAACTATACAAGCATTGCACAAAAATAATATTTTAAGTTTCTTCAATCAATCTTTGAAATGCAGGACATTGTTTTGTTTGTGAAAAAAAGTAAATTTGACACTGATTTTACAAAATACTCATCTTTTTGTGACTCACCTCCTCCATCATTCGTTCTAGTGCTAAATACAGTGGCCCCTATTCATTAAAGTTGTGAAAGAAAGAGTGCAGATTTGACTGCCTTTAAGGACTTACAAACTGCTCTGTGTCTGATTCATGAAACTTTTGTACAGCGTGGAAAGGACAAAGATTTGAGTGCAAATGATGAATCAGCTTCCGTGCATAAAATCAAGCATCAGCCTATCAGCACCTGGTTTACATATAATTTACATGAAGCACACCCTAATTTATGCAGATGTTTTGGTAAGGGGCCAATATTTACGATCTACGAGGTTTACTTTGACCATGCACAGCTTTGATGAATAAGGACTGTCTGAAATGTTCTGAGTGGATGTGTATATTAGCACCTGCAATTCAAATTAGCCATTTATTTTTATGGTTAATGTCATTTAAACGGCAGGTCACGGTAGATCAGTTTCAAAAGTAGAGCCAGGTGTGCTTGCTAAATTTTATCACACTCTAAACGTTTTGCACGCTTCTTAGTAAATAGCATTTAAACCGCTGAGTATACTGTTCTTCAAACCGAGCGCACATACTGACCTGTGTGAACTGAATATTATAATCTAAGCACAGGGAGGGTCTGGGGGAACGACCTTGCAGAATGGAGCCATGACATAAGGCTATGTAAATCCACACCTCTTTAATAAGCACGGCAGCCACGGTTCACTCTCCACAGAGCGCCGTACAGGGAATCTTCAGAGAAGAGGCTGCTAAAAGGCTGAGGTAGCGTGCCGGTGGGCTGCAGCATTCAGGAGCCATACTGCCAGGCTGATTAGATTGCGCCGAAGCACTTAGATTAACAATAACTATGGGATTAGAGTCAACCCTCCAGCAACCTCTCCTGACGTGCTCCTGTTGTTTCCTCCCTCTTAAATTCTCGCTTGCCGGCCCTGCTTTCACCAGCTCTGTGGAGGATAAGGGCTGAGCTTCGTCGGATAAGCAACCTTAAGTGAATGAAAGGGATTAGCCTTTTTTCATTAAGCGACTGGCCAGCCATTCTTTCGGCTTTAACCTGAAGCTCGCCATTACGTTCCGCAGCCCCCTCCTCCACGGGCCTGCACTCTATTTTTAGAGCTTTTCATTGTTTAAGGCTAAAATTACTCCCTCTGCTGCAAGTAAGCTCCAAATCCAGAGGCAATATGTAGGAATTTCAACATTAGTGGAGATTTTTTATCCTTAATGTCAGTGGGAGCTCCCTGATCCCTTTGTTATGTTTCTCAGGATGAGCAGCCGCTACCTAGCGGTCCATTTTGAAGGTTACACGTCACGCATTTCCATTTATATACCCCCCTGTGTTAGAAGTAGTAGCCTACTCACAATTCCCAATATTAGAGAAATGTACCTCACTTGTGAGGAATGGAATTGGTCTTGATTCGAGTACATAGATTTGTATACTATGTGTGTTTTCTCTTTCTGGAGCAGCAGGAAGTAGGTAGGAATTGATATTTCAAAGCAGGTATTGATATTTCAAATCCTCACTTTATCTTTTGAGAACTGCTCCTTACATACAAATATTACATGTGTTTCCTTTAAACAGTCATTTTAATATTTTTGTATTTGACGTATATATGGATCATTCTACTGAATTGGTCCCATCCATTTTGTCACTACTAACTCATAAACACTAGCCAGTACATAACTAGCAAACACAGCTTTTGCTGTTGTACACACAGCATTTCATTAAAGTGCAAAAAAGTTGATTTACCTGCAGAAAATGTGAGTTTCTGTATTGATAATTCTTAAGGTTACATGCTGATTTTTGACTTTGGGGCACATTTACTTAAAAAATGTGATATAACTGTTCACCATGTGGCCATGAGGGATAGGGATGCAGTCTCACTTCCTGCTCTGAAATGCAGCGGTGTGACTAAAATAAGGCTCCGCCTATGGACTAAAACTTTGAGGGCCTGATGTACTAAGCCTTTTGCACCAGTTTCAGTTGTAATTTGGAGCATTCTGCCCACGTGTAATGTTCTAAACTGCTGCACAAGTGTATACACAGTTTCTGTGCAGTGCGCATGGAAAAACACAAAATGCGCTTCTGTAACTCATGTATGTGCTATAGAGGGAGAGCCGTGCAACATGTGGGAGGATTGTGTAAAAAAGTGAAAAAAGTGGTAGTGCGGCTGATTATATACTCCATTCAGTTAACTAAACTTTGACAACTTGACGGCTCCATTATTTCACAGCACCTTTTAAATGCAGTTAGTGGGCGGGTCTGTGCGCAGTTTGTGTGAGCAGCTGCTGCCTTTGTAATTCAAACGTTAAATTCAGGTGCATTATGTGCACATATAGGGGATAGGGTTTGGGGCAGCCACCTCCTAGTAGAAAGTAGCCTAAATGATGATTTACTATAGACTTAGCTTATTCGTATCTCAGCTAATGCCTTGGATTTAAATAGATGGTAACATAATCCTTGTAAAAATCTAAGGTCTGAATACTTAAGTGTTTTTTCTTTATTTTTTTTTCTAAACATATTTCTACCTAAATACATTTTTGTATATATTATTTATATAGAGTTTATATAGACTATTAACTATTTTCTTAAAAAAAAAACAAAAGCAATGTTGATGCATATTTTTACAAGTTTTGTACCTACATACAAGTTTATACTTTTTTTGTGTTTATGTTGTTACCAGTTTATTAGCGCCTTCGATAACATAGTGTTTTCAGTTGATTGCGCTAGTATCTAGTTGATAATCTGTTTTATTAGTAGGTCACATCACTGTATTCCTGTGTTGTTTGTCACTGCATCTATACATGTGGGAAAAAATATTTGAAATTTACATTTTGTAAAAGCCAAAAACATTGATAGAGATAAGTCATCTTTTCTCAAGATCAGGAAAATTTACTGTAGAGATGGTCCCACAGTGTCCAGTCAACGTAGAGTACTGCATGTGATGTAAATCTTTTGGCCATTCCAGACGAAATGCTGAGACATCTTATACTATTTTCTTTCTGAATGTATTTCTATATAAATATCTCTATATCTAAATATTTTTTTTCTGTTTGATTTTTTCCTTTCCTCCAAACTACTTTGCATCCCTGTAAAGTTAACAATGTAGATGTCCTTTTTTTTCTTGTTTTTTTATTTTACCTACATGTATATTTATACTTTTCTTTTGTGAAGCTGTTATTTCCAAGGAATTTCTTCTGTTATTCTCTCTTGTAGGGGTTTCTGGACATTGATCTGACCGAGTTTAAGAAAGGAGAGGCCAATGTGACAGGCTTCCAGTTAGTGAACTATGACGATCCGAACGTGAGCCGGATAGTGCAGCAGTGGATGGACTTCGACAATAAAGACCCAAAAGTTCCCAAAAGAGGACTGAAGGTAAGGGCTGTCAATACCTGTCATGTTGCACAAATGAGCTGCACTCATTAACAAAGATGGAGAGTCGCCCAGATTTGAAGTGGGTGGTACAGAAAAAAAGACACTGCACAAACATGAGGCAATTTTGGAGTGAATCAGAAATGACGCCAATTACTACAGCGTTTATAGAGAGAGAAGAGAGGCGTCGCCTCAGAATTCAATTTAGCAATGGCATGCTGCTGTTTTTCTCTGACACACCGACCTGTTTATGAGAGGATACTCATTAGCTGACGCACATTTGCGCACATTTACTCACTCTTTTACAGCAAAGCATGAAAACAATCGGCATTATTTTAGGGCTGTCATGATTACTTGATTAAACTCAATTATTTGATTAAAACAAATGATTCAAAATCAATTTTATAGTTACCTTCTCAGTGAATCTACACACACACATTATCTAAGCCGCTTATTCTTCTGGATCCCGGGAGGTGCTGGAGCCCATCCCAGCACTCCTTGGGCGGAAGGCAGGAAACACAATGGACAGGTCACCAGCCCATCGCAGGGCCAGTCAATCTACAATAGTTGGAAATTAGCAAAATGAAAATGCATATTAAATTCTATGGGTATTTAATTCAGAGGTCTGCTACCTGACCCGAGCCCGACAGAGTCTGACAAAATATTGGGTTTTGGGACGAGCTTGGGACGATTTTCCACACTGGGGTCAGGTTCAGGTTTATTTGCTAATGAGTGATTTTTTTATGTAGTGATTTTGTTTTTATTATTTGGAGGAATATGCTAAGTAAATTTCCTAAACTCTCACACGTTTTCGCTTGAATACGTGCACTCCCTGTAACTGAAGACATTTGTAGGTTGTCTGTGTTTGCTGGATCAAGGAGGGCCAATCCTAAACTCATAGTGATCACAGGCAGGGGTCAGTAAACGAAGCAAGGATGAGTCAGAGAAACATCTAACAAGGAAGACCATGGCTCAAAACACGCAGGAGTACATGTATGGGCTGTAACTGACTAGCTGCAGGTGTGTGTAATGATTAGGGGTGGAGCCAGGGAAGAGCGATGCTGGAATGAGCCACTCCAGACCGGGCAGGTCCAGGTAAAGTCTCCCAGAGGGGAAGACATGTGACATATAGAGCAGTGTTTCTCAGCCTTGGTCCTGGAGAGCCTCTGCCCTGCGCTTTTAATGTTTACCCTACTGCCAACACACCTGATCCTGCTAATCAGCTCATTAACAGCCCATTATTGAGTTAGCGTGGCAGGCAAAGCACTAAAATGTGCAGGACAGTGGGCTTTTAGGAGCAGGTTGAGAAACACTGATATAGAGAGTATATTCTAGTATGTGTACAGCTAAGCTAATCCTCTTAATGAAATAAAAAGAAAGCTCACTAAAGTTTTTTCACTAACTGTTTAAAATTCCAAATGCAACAGGTTGTTATTAGTGTGTTAAACATTATGACCTGGTCATTACTTTAGATAAAGCATTCTGGCCATATACAGTACAAAGGTTGTAGTAGTATTTTGAGCTATGATAGCAAGAGAGCTGGCACGTCATCACTTCAGCAAAACCTTTATAGTGGATGTAGCCGTTCCTCACACCAGTCAAGTCAGTTTTGGCTACAGCAAAAGCTCAGCTTTCAGATAAGTTTGTAGAGTTTTTCTGTTGTTGCTTTGTTGTTGTTTGTTTTTCTGTCTTAGTAATGAAACAAAGCACCATGAAAGCATATCTGTGATAATCCATCTCTGTTAAGCCAGGAATACTCTTCCTGTTCTTTGGAGACAACTCACACTGCATGTATGAATCGCCCAACGTGTACGGCCTATGATTTATGTACTCACACCATACCGTCACACTCGGTCAGATTGACATGCAGCAATGTGGGGGCTAACACTGCGTGTAAAATGTGACCTCTACAAAGAGTTCTGTCTATGGACAATTTCTAATAAAGCTGTTGCATTCAAAACAACATGCTATGCATCGGAGTACCAAGTAAAAACAAGAAACCGTACTACAGCAGATTTGCTAAACTGTGAATTGAAGCTAAAACCAGGATGTGCATATGTGGGACAGTATAGCCACAATTGAAAAAATCATTGTATTAATGTTTACCTTGCAATTCGAAGCAGTCAAACAAGTAAAGTCGACATATATGCAGATGTGACTGTGATTATGTTTGCGTGGTTTTGGGTGCAAATTGCAAATAAATTTGTAAGATCTGCTCAAACTGTGAAACATGCGATCACAATTTCTGGCGTGATAGATAGATGGGTTAATTAGGTACAGATAGTAAATGTCCTCCCTATCCATTCATCAGCTACTCAGTTGGAGCTTGTTTAGGCAGTTAATCAGGCATCGCTTCCCCCCTCACACTGCACGTCAAACAACAGCCAATGATGCTGAAATTCAGGCCGAGCCTGAAATTCAGTCGGCAACGACCAAATCAGGCTTAAATACAAGCTGCAGTTGCACAGTGTATGCCTGGCTTTAGTGCATAGGGGGTTCAGGTCAGGTTTCAGGTTTACCGGTCACTCCTGGTTGGGTCAGGTCTCAAAGTTGCAGGTAGAGGTCGGGTCCAGGCTTTGATTTCTTGCCCAAACAGATCTCTAATCTACAGTAAGAAAACAAAGCCCGATAGACACACCTGTTTAGATGGATTTAGATGCGCAAGTCCTTTGATCATCTCTTTCCTGTAAAGTATTTTGGAATCTTTGAAAGGATATGCACGGTTTGTTATTGTTCGGTTAAAGGAATAGTTCTGAAACTGAAGGCAGCTGTCTCGATGCCTTGCTGCCTGTGCTGTCTCCAAAGTCAGTGCCTTAGAAGGCAGCATTGAGATGAAGGTTTCTGCAGCTGAACCGTGTTTGAAGTCCTTCAAAGGCAGCGATACGTCATGTTGTTGCCAAGATACGATAGCTCACTGCTCAATGTTAGCGTTAGACGTAAGCATGCTGAACTTTTTATAACCAAAGTAAAAAGTTTTGTATTTGTACACAAACCGCTCTCTCTCCTCCACTGTGCCAGTACTGGTGTCTTCTGCTATTTTTTCCTTACTGCATCAGTGCTGAAACAGAGGATTACACAGAGAGGGATGTGTAAGGCAGTGTAGGTGTATTCTTCACTGCCTTACACATCTTAAAAAACAGTCAAACCCAGGAACTTCAGCAGCAGTGTTTTAAACAAACACTCGATCCAGACATGACTGGGTGCCTTCTTGCCTCAGAATACTGTCTGAGAAGGCAACAGCTATGATTCTCCACTTACCCTAAGTGCAGCTGATGAGCCAAGACATGTTTGGGGTCCACATTTTGCTTCTTTTATAAGTGGCGTGGTTTATCTTTATTTTATGTGCGATATTATTCTAATTCTCTTACAGTGAGCAAGACTAACACTACTTACCTGCATAGTGAAATCCTCCTAGAGCTTGAAGGTGCAGTAATACTGGACGTTACACGGATGATAATGTAGTTCTAATTTGAGCTTAAATGTAGGTCAGGGCCCCCTTATTAACGTCTTGGAGCCCCCTGAATGTCTCAAAATCAAAATGCTAGGGGTTCCTGAAAATAAGCTTAGTATGAAGCTGTTCATTAAGGACAAATAGACACTCAAATACAAATACAGGGAAATGTGATTGTGTAGCTGCTTCACCAGCGAGCTTCTGTCTTTGATATTCTGAACTAGCTAACTAGAGATGCAGCACTGGTCTGCCTCAGGGTGGCACTGTAGAAGACTGGTTCACCCAGTTGGTATAACTATGCCTGGGATACCTCTGAAAATCTTTACAGTACTCCATAGCATATTTTTAAACCTGAAAACTTTCCCAAGAATTTCCCAAGAAACTGGTGGAAGGAGTGAATTATTAGTCATTTCTCAAACCAAAGACCAAAGAGATGTGTTAGATCTCAGTGAATGTGTGGAAGAGTTCATTTTCAAACTAGAAAAGAGCATTTCTTAAGAAGAATTGTTAAAACAAACATTTTGTTGCCACTAAAGCATCAATGTCACTATGGCAACTATAGCAGCCTACCAATGCTGGAGTAGCCAGCCAGCATGGGACCACCCCAGAGACTGGGGACTGCTTAAATGTATGAATAAGGAGTATCCATCTCATTTAACTAAGTCTTTTTAATGCACTTAAAAATGTGCTGACTTCCAGTGTTTGCTAGCACTGTTAGCCTAATAACTCCAGTTCTAAACTAAAGAAACATATGGACACCAGGTGTGTCTTGGCTGGTCAACTGTATTTAGGGTGAGTGGAAAGTCATGTGAGTTTGATTTTTCACTGATCTATTCCTTCCATTTTAATTGTTTATAGCCTGTACATTACTTGATAACTATTATAATTAAAAGTGACCGCCATACATTAATATAGCACTCTCCTCTGTTTCTTATTCTTCCTCTTGTGTGTCCAGTACACCGGAGCCCTCACGTACGATGGGGTCAAAGTGATGTCCACAGCCTTCCAAAACCTCCGCAGGCAGAGGATTGACATATCTCGTCGTGGCAATGCTGGCGAATGCCTGGCCAACCCGCCGGCCCCCTGGGGCCAAGGCATCGACATTCAGAGAGCGCTACAGCAGGTATTTCACCCTGAAGCAATCATATGCAAATAGACACATGCTTATGCATGCACACACACACACACACACACACACACACACACACCCATGCACATACACACACACACACACACAGACACACACACAGAGAACAATTCATTGTAACGCATAAACTAACTCACACACATGACTGGCATAGATTTAGATCTATTTTGAGAGGCCTGAATAGAGCACCAAGAAACAAATTACATCTCTATTCTGCCTCATAAAGTTCAGGCTGATTGGCCAAAGAGAGCAGAGCAATCGAATGTGACACGGCGGATAGTAAACAAACACAGTTGGCAATAAACCTTTATGTTGGTCATAATCTCATATGACAAGATATATTTATAAATAGATAAAAGAGAGAATGAACACCTGACTTCATTTTGCTAGCCTGAGGCAGCTTTATGCCTCTGTGCTGGTGGCGTCTTATGAAAATACCAACACAGAAGATACAAGCTGGCAGGCAGAATGCCATGAAAAGAAAACCTACTATGACTTGAAACCCTCTATAGGGATGTACTTGTTCTCTGTTTAAAAGGGTCATAAAAAGGAAAACGAATGCTTGTCTTGTCTGGAAGCATATATAGTATTTCGGGGCCTTATGATTCACAAAATTCATAATTCACTTCGATACAATATAATGATGTGTTGATTCAGTACATTTTGTGATACAGGAAAATAAGGAGATCCTGAAACAAATGTGTCCCAAGTTAGTATGTTAATTGTGCTGTATTCATGTTTTCTTTTTTCAGTTTATTACAACATTGTAGAAGTGCAACATCTAAGGCTTTTACAGTGGCACATTGAGATGTTGCCTGATCTATTCAGGCCTTGTACCTGATATTACCTGGAATTAACATCTGTCTGGTCAGTCTGATGGCCATTTTAAGTCTGCAACAACTAATTAACAGGAATGAGCTGCAGTTTGAAACTGTTGTATGTCTAAACTATACACTGACCAGCCACTGCATTAAGTGCAGCTACCTTGTTTCTACACTCTTTGTCCATTTTATCAGCTCCATTTACCATATAGGTGCATTTTTAGCTCTGCAATTACAGACTGTTGTCCATCTGTTTCTCTGCATTATTTGTTATCCCCATTTTAATCTGTTCTTCAATGGTCAGGACCCCCTCAGGACCACCACAAAGCAAGTATTATTTGGTGGTGGATCATTCTCCGCAGTGCAGTGATACTGACGTGGTGATGGTGTGTTAGTGTGTGTTGTGCTGGTATGAGTGGATCAGACACAGCAGTGCTGCTGGAGTTTTTAAACACTCACTGTCCACTCTATTAGACACACCCACCTTGTTGGTACACGTTGTAGATGTGACATCAGAGACAGTAGCCCATCTATTGCTGCACAGTTTTTTTAGTCATCCTCCAGTCCTTCATCAGTAATCACAGGACGCTAGCTGGGTATTTTTAGTTGGTGGACTATTCTCAGTCCAACAGAGACACTAAGGCATTTTCACTGAGTTGGGTATTTTCCTCATGTTTTTACATATATGAAACAAATTGAAAGCCTAGCTTTGTAGTCATGGTTCTCCACTGCTATACTACATATCGTCACTGTCTGGACAAAATCTTGGATCTCCAAAACGGCAACTTTATTATATTTTAGCATTATTATTATTATTATTATTATTATTATTATTATTATTATTTATTAACTTATACTAAAGTTAATGTAACAAGTTTTTTTTAGACCATTTCTATTGGCCTATTCATCATGAAACTTTAACACAAATTATGCAAAAAAGTAATAAATAGCAAAAATGGAGATACAAGGTTTGTGCATGACAGTGATGATATATTGCACTCAAACAAACACTTCATGATGTGTGTGAGAAAGTCCCTGGTGTGGTGCTGTATTCGGTGGGTAAAGTGTTCCAGACGGAGGCAGGCTTTCTCAGACTAGCCTGAGGCTGTGTGTGTGTGACGTGAGTGGTGAAGGCTGGAGTGAGGGAATTCAGCCCGTCTGAGGCAGGCTGTTGAAGCTGTTGAAGCAGATGCTGAGCTGGATCAGTTAACCCCATCATGCAGCCCGAAATCGCCCTCTGCTACATACACAGGGGAGCGCACTGAGCAAAAAATACACTTCCCACAAATGCATCAGAGAGAGCGAGAGGGAAAAAAAGTAATGGCACTCGAGCTCTTTCATCTTTGTCTCACTAAAGCTTCCTCTCGGGGCTTTTGTCTTAGGTGCGGATCGAGGGCTTAACGGGACACATCCAGTTTAACGAGAAAGGCCGGCGGACCAACTACACGGTCAGCGTGATGGAGCTCAAACCCACAGGGCCAAAGAAAGTAAGTCCAGACATTTCAGCTGCAGAATTAAATTCTGCTTAAGCTAAAGACACAGCTTTGACATGTAAAGAACATGATCTACCAAAGCCACACGATTTATATCTTGTTAGTGTCACAGACACATACAAAAAATATATACTAAAAATACAACATACAATACGGTGCAGAAGTCAGAGACCACCCTTCATTTATTTCATTGCCAGTTAAAACAATCATTAAACACAAGTGATTCATTTTTTCAGGAGATATTTCTGAGAATATTAGATATTAATATTATTAATGTATTATTATGAATTAGATATAAGATGCTAACCTGCTTGCTTGAGGAAGGGAAAGTCATGAGAAAACAGCCCCAACAACCATGCAAGACCTGGTAGACCAGCAGAACTGTCACCATCAGATAAACATTACTTAAAGTCTTCACCTTTGAGAGAGAGGAGAAAATCAAGCTTCCAAATCAAATCAGATCAACTCTCTCAGATCTGGAAAAAAAAAAAAACCCACAGGTGTGGATCCACTGTAAGAAAACAGCTCAGTGCTATGGGTCTGAGAAAGCAGTATCACAGCAAATGTAATTGACATAAAACAATATTTCATTTTCATAGGGGAGCTAAAAACATACCTCACACTTCACCTTTTAATTTTACTCTGAATGAACAAATTTATAATAAACCCTTAGCATCGTATTTCTTTTATACAGTGATAGAAAATGCAGTTGCATACAGAAATCTCCAGTTCCACATGCAGATACATTTTACACACATACCAACTACTCCGAGAGCAGATTTTGATGAGTGAAAGACCTCCTGCACTCAAAAATGTGTTTTTAAAATGGTTAACTCCTCTTTTATGGCTTATCTCGATTATACGGACTGATATTTTTATCAAATGTTACCATAGCGCAGAGCTCACATTTTCCCAGTGAAAGCACAGGCTCAAATCTGAGCAGTGCTTGTTAGCATTGGAGGCTAGCATTAGTTTAGCGAGAAGGCCTAAACAGCTTTACAAACAACCATGCAGGTTCATTCAAGCTCACTGAAGCCTCACTGATGCAAATTTAGGGAATACAGACTCAAATCTGAGGGAGTGCCTTTGAGTGACTGGTGCAAGAGTGGCATAAAGACAGAATCTTACAGTGGGAGTCAAGGCCGTTACACACCAAATGCACACCAAATCTTCATAGATTGGGCAAATGCTGACATTGGGCTTCTGTCCATTTTAGAAAAGAGAAAGTAGCGTGAAGAGCTTCGTCGCTACATTCAGAAGCTGAAACTTTTAAGTGCTTCTACATGTAACTCCATGTTTGTAGCCCAGTTTGAGCTCCATTTGAGCTACTTTTTGGATATTCGAATCCTTTTAGTATATGTGAAAATGTTCCAGTTCCAGCCAATTTGTCATCTTAGGTTTCGTCATACCAATGCCAGAGATGACCACATTTGGTCAGCGAGTTCTTGATGCTCATGAAAGTTCACAAAAATTGAACCTGCCACAAGATATCATCAGATGCACACATGCTCCAATTAATTTACTGTCGTCTGAAAAAATCGCACAAATAAATTGTGCTTGGTGTGTAACAGCCTTTACAGTGGAACATTGTTTCTGCTCTTCCTTGAATGTAGATGAGGGAGGGGAAGGGGTGCGGTTTAGAAAAAGGGAACATTTATGATTTGCATAATTGTGCATATTAATAGATTTTGCTTTCATTCAAATAATTAACAGTTTACACATAGACAATTTAAACATAGATTTTTTTTTGCAGTTTAAATTATGACTCTAGGTGTACATTAAAGGCGATATAGCCCTTGAGCTGAATGTATCGCTGATGATACTTTGGGCAAGATAAGGTTAAAAGAAAATCCTATCACTTTTGGAAAAAAATTGATCTATTATTGTAATTGAGATTTCATGTTACAGAGAAAAGTAAAGTAAGCGCTGCACAAGTAAGGTTTTGCTTCTTTTGGGATATTTTGTGGAGGTTTGTGATCTCACTCCTCATTTCTTTCCTGTGATTTCTTGATTTGTTCTCAGGTGGGTTACTGGAATGAGGATGAGAAGTTTGTGAGCACTGCAGCTTTCGCGCCAGGCAACAATGACACCCACGGATTTCACAACCGCACGTACATCGTCACCACTATCCTGGTATGGCTTCTGTATAGCGGCTTTAGCTCGAGCGCAAAAATGGATTTAAACCTCAAGGCCTGGCACTGGGGATGAAAATATGGATTTTACAGCAGAAGTTCTTCAAAGCTTCTGTGTATTAAGAATACATTGTCGTGTTGTTCTCAGTAGGAGGACATTGTTTTTCTGTTGTCTTCTAAATATGGAAAAGAGGATGCCGCATTTTGCTCCTGAGCGCTGCCGGTTTCCACAGCCTGTAGATGTGCATTTTTCCCGGCCCTCTGTGAGATGATGATAGTGGCGTGCGGTTCAGATAAGAGCACAAAGCCGCTGTTGCACTGGATCAGTGAATGAGACATTACTTCTGCTCTCCCAGCCGAGTGTTTTCATCTTATCCTTAAAGGCGGGGCTGGGATTGAATTCCCAGCAGAAGCCGAAAATTCATTTTCCTCTTCTACTCCCTCTGTTCTCTCGTTCTACGCTGAGCTCCTCGCCCTCACCATATGTTTTAGTAATTCCTTCACATCCGAGACTTCACAGGGCATTTATTCACCTTTGATATGTGGCCTGTCCATCTCTTGGCTGGACGGGGAAAGGGCAGAGTGTGTAGGCAGGCCTGCTGATGGAGGGACGTGGGGGGAATGGGCGATGGAGCTGAAGAGAGGGTGCAGTGTAGAAGCTAAACTCTCACTTGGGAGCTGAACAGAGAGCAGGAGTCACTCTGAAATATGCAGTGTGTCCTACAAGGCCTCGCTCGGCAAAGAAACCGAATGGCTTCGTAGGTCAGGGTGCTGTTCTATAAGAGCTAATATTCTGGGAATGTTTAATTCCTGGCATCATAGATAATATATAAGTTGGCCTGCAGTGTTTGTCCAGTGCACTTATTACAAAGCATTTAGCTTTTATATGCACTGCTCATCAAAAGAGAAATTTTCAGAGTGATTTTTTTTCTCTTTTTCTATTTCTGGCAGCAGAATGTCATAATATTTAGTAGCTTGTCTTATTTTCTCAAAATAATGACTTCTTTTCACTTTTTCCTCTATGTAATTACTTATTTATCATTAAAATAATGAGGTATTCAATTTCAAGAATGCAAGTGGGTATTTCAGCATAAAAGTATTTAAGATACTACATCATTATTCTGACATTGTAATGCATTATTAGGAGATATTAAGTAATTATGTTGAAAAAGCAAGAAAATATAACTATTCTGAGATACTAAATCAATATTTTGATATACTGCTGCCCAAAACAGGGAAGGAGAAAAAAATCATTGGCATCGAATCCCAGCAGTACCACACAAAAGGCTAATATTATGGATTATACTAATGGCCAATACCAGTAATACCGTGGATCACTATTATTGAGCAGTGTTTTCAGTAAACTGACATAATGCTCAGGCTGTATAGAAATCTATGAAAATATAGAAACAGATTATGTATCAGTAATATATTTAGCCTATTTCAGTATATTTAAAGTGCAGTTTGTTTGTTCTTTCTTTTCTTTCTTTCTTTTATTTCTTTAAATGTTCAGTTTTTCGTGTTCAGAGTTAACTGTCTAGCAGTGTGCTGTTACTGAGTGAGCTGTGAGCAGGGCTTCAGGTAGTGTCTCCAGAAATCTCCCCAGGTTGTCCAATCATTCTGAAATATAACAATTGAACAGCTACCTCATATTACAGAAAAACATTCTCAACTTTTAGTGTCAGTTAATGTAACAAGATTTATTTTTATGTTACTCTGGACTATTTTTGTTGGTTTGCCATGAAATTGTGCCAGTGTAAATGAAAGCTGGCATTTTCAAATTATGTTAACAAATAAACAAACTAAAAAAAACGAGAGCCAAAATTGAGATTCAAGGTTTGGTTTCAACAGTGACAATATAGAAATATGCAAACCAAATAATGACAAATTTGTAAGTTGTGCCTCTCCATGTTGTTGCTCTGTAGGTCAACTGTTAGTGGATTATCGCGCCTGAAACACAAACATGAATTATGAAACCAATCCATCAGGTACAGATCACCTCTAATGCTATGTGAAATTCATGTGTTTTCATATTATTATTAACGGTAAAAATAGTAATAGTAAAAATATTTTCTAACTAGAAATATAATTTGAATACTATTACATATAAGAAATTTGGATGCTTGATTAGCTACACTGGTTGAAATGTCCACCTCCACACAATCTCTTTGATATCAGCCAGATGACGAAAGCCTCATTATCAGCTTTTTGCATATTTATGACAAAAGTAAAAAGCTTGCTGATCCACAACTGAGCTGAGTACCCAACATGAAATGGTGTGCCCCAGCAGAGGTGAGTCCATGTTATGGCTTTTAGAAGGCAGTGGCTTTGACAGGGTTATTTTCAGCGAGTGAGCCAGGTTCTGGTATTGTCTTGTGCATCAAGAAAGAGCACCCAATCCGCTGCGCTGAAACGACAGGCTGATTCTACTTCTGGACGGCCTGTAATATGAGGTAGCTGTTCAATTGTTATATTTCAGAATGATTGGACAACCTGGGGTGATTTCTGGACACACTACACCTGAGGCCCTGCTCACAGCTCACTCAGTAACAGCACACTGCTAGGCAGTTAACTCTGAACACGTGAAACTGAACTAAAATAAAAGAAAGAAAGAACAAACAAACAAACTGTACTGGAATGTACTGAAAGACGCTAAATATATTACAGATAAATAATCTGATTCTATATTTTCATGTGTTTATTTTACGGTCTGACCAATATATCAGTTCTCTGAAAAATATTGGTCAGGAATAGCGACCCATGGCATTACTGGTATCAGCCATTAATATAATCCATATTGTGATGAAAATTAGCTTTTTGTGGCACCGCTGGGATTCAATACCTATGAGTTTTTCTCCTATTAAGTTACTTTTTTGAAGAAATCACATCTCATTCCTGTTAGACTGGTTTCTGGCATTTTCTAGATGCACCAAACAGTTTATACATCAATGCATGGAGTGCCAAGATTTTTTTGTTTTTCTCCAGCTGTGGCCATTTTGCCAAATAAATTATAATCAGATGGATTTATCTAGTTATGTGCTAATTAATTAGTCAACATCACTTTCTTCAAAACATCATTTTCAGAAATGTAAGACATCAAAAAAACAAAGACCTACTTTTCTTCACAAAGTTCAGCTGTTGTGATTCAGTTCACTCTCTTCTTGGTGGTTCATAGTTTTGGGGTGCAGGAGGTGGAACAAACCACTCCAGTTTCTGACTGGTTTCAAAGTAAATTGCATCAGAGAGAACCGGCTTTCCCACTCATTTCCTTTGAGACAGAGAGATTTTTTCAAATTATGGCTACAAGTAGTTCGCCACCTGATGCTGATATTGAGGTAATGTGAAAAAATCATTGAGGATCTGCAGCGATCACTTCTTGGCAGAGGATTACCAGGGAACTGTCTAAGGCTTTCTCATGGTCTAAGTTACAGTCTGTGAGGTAGATTTATCCTTGAGTGACTGTATGAAATTATTTGGCCTTCATACTCTTCGGCAGACGACAGCAACTCAGAAAGTAGCAACATAGGCAGGAACACATGTCTGGGAAGTACTCCCGGCACAGCGGATGAATACAAAAGTGTGATTGAAGTGTACAAAGGCAGATAAAAGCTAGATGTTTTATTAGCCTTCTGTAATATCTTGTCCTTGGTACAATGTGTGATGTGTATTTTGCCGTTGAATGGAGTTCTGTGAGCGTGTGTGTGTGTTTGGGGGGGGAGCTTTTGGGGGTTCCATCTTAACATATTATTTAAGCAATTGATATAAAAACTGTCTGAGGTGCCTAGAAATTGTCCAGTAATTACTTATGAGGGCTCAAGTGTAAAATAAATATCACTTGAAAATACATTCAGTAGTACACAAATTTTCCATTTTTCACACCTTATTAAAGTAGCTGATCCAGTTAGCAAATACTTAGATAAGTTCAGATATCTGTACATTTGAATGAGCTCCTACTATTGTGACATCAGGGTGGTAATGGCACCCAACTGTCTCCAACTGTCTAGGAATCTCCATACGTGATGCTAAAGAAGAACCATGAGCAGCTGGTAGGGAACGATAAGTATGAGGGCTACTGTGTGGAGCTGGCAGCGGAGATAGCTAAACATGTGGGATACCAATACAAGCTCAAGATCGTGTCTGATGGCAAGTATGGAGCAAGGGATCCAGAAACCAAGATGTGGAATGGGATGGTGGGAGAACTGGTATATGGAGTAAGTACATTAATGTCTGTTTATTTACGCTACCATTTATTAAGTCATTTAGCACAAGCGTCCCACTTATCATGCAGTAACTTTATTTCCCATTTTCATATCAGCCCTAAATTGTCTTTATCATTGCCTCCAGATTCAGCAATATAATTATCATCACGTTCAGGAGACCATTACTCATTTACAATGGCGGGTTTAATAATTTTATGGTGTGGCCGTCACTTCATTATTTATTTCTTCAAAGACAGTGATTCAGTTGAATGAGCTCCCCAGAAAGGAGTGTTGAAGGAGAGAGTTAGAGGAGAGGTTAGAGAAGGTCAGCTCTATTTACTTTCTCAGATAAACAGCCTCAGACTCTCCTGTCCAGTTTCTTTCACCCGTACCTTCGCATCAGTGTGTGGTGTGCTTTGTCATGCCATTACATCTGAATTTTGAATAACGTGGACAGATTTCTCATTAAGGCTCCATTTTGCACTGAAAAGCTCTTTTTTGTGGTAGGTGTCAGAGAATGGAAAGCTTCTTCCAAACATTTTGCAGCCGTATTAGGAGAATAATGGCATTTAATAAAATGTAATGATTTTTTACCGTGAGAGGGTTTTGAGCTGCTCCAGAGCACCTAAATACACTGTTCTTACAATATTCCTACCCTGAGAAAACCTAACGCATTGAATTTATTTCATTCAACTGTGTAAATCATTTCCACATGAATAAAAATAAATTTAAATCTAGAGTTCACTTACTTTTGGCAGTAATTGTGTTGATCTAATATCTTTCATTCATATGAAAATGATGTGCAGCACTGTGCAAAAATCAGAGACCTCTATTAATTTATTTACCGGTCAAAACAGCCATTAAGAACAATTTATTCAATTACAGAAACCGTAATAAAGACAAATAGTGGACACAATAATACTGAGAAATTCCTAATATCGCTGCTGTTGGAACAAAACCTTGTATCTCCATTTTTTTTTTAAGTTTTTGACTGTGTGTAAATGTCATGATGAATGGACCAAAGAAATGGCCCAAAATTCTGGTTCCATTGACTTACATTAAAAGTAAAGTATGTTTTTTGCCTCTCCTGTAAAGTTACCATTCTGGAGACACAAGGTTTTGTTCTGATAGCAGTAATATATTTAGTTGTTGAGGCTTCTGTGTAATTTTCTGTTAATGTTGTCTTTTTTGGTCATGTTAACTGTAAATTAAGTAAATGAAGGTTGAAAGTCTCTGACGTTTGCCTAGTACTGTCCAGATTTGAATCAAAGCAGACTGTAGTGCATTACTTTTACAGTGTAATTACTGAATTCTTACTTGCCTTATTATAAGCAGCTGAGCCTCTTCTGTATCCTGTCTACCGCAGAAAGCTGATATTGCTGTGGCACCGCTGACCATCACCCTGGTGAGAGAGGAAGTCATCGACTTCTCCAAACCCTTCATGAGCCTGGGCATCTCCATCATGATCAAGAAGCCCACCAAGTCCAAGCCGGGCGTCTTCTCCTTCCTGGACCCTCTGGCCTATGAGATCTGGATGTGTATAGTGTTTGCCTACATTGGCGTGAGCGTGGTGCTCTTCCTGGTCAGCCGCTTCAGCCCGTACGAATGGCACGCCGAGGACTACGAGGAAAATGCTGAGGCCAACCCCAACCAGCCTTCGTCTTCAACGGGCCAGACAGGCCAAGGCGGCCAGAACCAGCCTCAGCAGAGCCAGGAGCAGACCAACGAGTTTGGCATCTTCAACAGCCTGTGGTTTTCTCTGGGAGCTTTCATGCAGCAAGGCTGTGATATCTCTCCCAGGTACGATGGCCACTGTGATGAGGGCTGCTGTTCACTTGTTAGGGCAGAATCAATAGTCAGCTTTGAAGGTTTTTTTGGAGTGGGGCAATCAGGTTATGAAGGAAACATCTACAGCCATATGGTGTTCCACTGATCTTGTTAGGCTTTTCAGTGGGTGCTAATAATCTGTTAGCGTTCCATAGCTGTTAATGAATTGGCACCACTCCATACGAATTGCTGTCTTCTGTAGCTAATGACTGTTTAATCTGTGTTGGTGGTTCCTTAGGTGTTTGCTTCGGGTTCGTTTATGCATGTTGTTTAAATTTGTTTTAGTTGTTTGACTCATTTCTCCTCAGCACTGCGAGTCTATGTCATATACAGCAGAGTTACAGAATAGGACAAGACAGCTGTGAGCACTTCAGCACGGACTGGACGCAGCTCACTGTTCCAGCTCTAATGAGAGGGGCAAAGCCACTCTTTGAATTTTAGAGATAAAAGCTGCAGAAGTGCTTTATTCAAGTCTTTGTCACAAAGCTCGGTGAAAGAGGGCAAGAGAGAGCGCTGAGTCTTTGCATGGCTGCCTGGCTCTCAAAGGTCACCAATTAAAAATCTAATTAATGGGGATGAAATTAGCAACATGAAGGGAATGGCACTCGGTGGAAGGGCACAGAGAGGTGTGTCCACAGCAGCATGGCTCTGAGAGAGGAGGAATGTCAGGGCCTGAACCCTGGAGCCTTTACTACATTAGCCTTTACAGGCAGGGCAGCCCAATAGAATACAGAATACAGACAGCAGGATTTCTCAGGAAAACAGAAATGTGGCCACATGAGGAGGAACTATATAAAGTTTGGATGGTAAGTTTGTTCAGTGTCCTCTGTGGTTAATTATGGATAAGGGATGTTTTTACGGCTACTTGATTTATGCTAGAACTATGTCATCCATTCCAGGAGCCAGAATCCTGAAATCGCTATTTGGTACGCTAAATCATCCAAAGGAAAAAATACTCAGGCGTTTAGTTTTATCAGGGCTGTAAAGTTTGCTCATATTTGTAATTAACTATATTACATTATGTTTTGCTAGTATAAAACCTTTTAAGGTCAATGCAAAACCGTGGCTATTTCTGCCAATTTATCTACAATTTTTTCTGTCAGACAGAGAATAATTAAAAAAAAAAAACATAAGTGCTTAGCAATCCGAACTGTGCTCTGAATTGAGCTCATGAAAAAACACAGTGCATCCAACAAGAAAGGAAGCTTCTTTCATGTTAGCCGATTCTACATGCTTAAAGTGATTAAATGATTTTACTGTTTCCAGCGGCTGGTTTGAAGGAGCGGCATTCCCCTGCCTTTTTTTAAACCAGGTACCAGTCTCTTTAGAGTCATGTGGTAATGTGTTGCCAGGGTCATGTTGTCAAGGATGGGACTGAGAAGGTAGAGATAGTGCAGCTGTAACTACTCAAGCATTAGCTGCTGTTTGCAAGAACCAAAAACAATGAATAAGTATTTTTCAGTGTTACGTTTACAGTCATCCACTGAGAAGAAAAATGACTCATGTGTAGAAGCCCATGAGTCATCACCATCTAACTGCTGCACTGGCTCATTCTAGTGTTAGCATTAGCCAATTAACTCAACCAAAAGTTTTCCTTTTTTGGACAATAAAATTTTTTTAGTTAGCTGCCAAATGTTCGGTCACGCTACTGATATGTTTATCCTGCTAGTGCACCAGTTTATAATTTTTGTTTATTAGTATATGCTAATATTAGGCGAAAAGACTTGTGGTTAACTAGATATCCTTTTGTTAACTCTTATGGATTCCCGAATATCAAAATGAGTAAGAACTGTGGTTGTTTTGGTTATTATCATTATTATGGTTGCCTGTTCCACCTTGCAATAAAACCACCATCCTAAAGTAACCAGTAAAACTACTAGCCTAACCTTAACCTTTAGAATTTGTGGATTATTACTTGCACTTTGCTTTACTATTTATATCTAATTAACATTTTGTATCAGGTCTACATGACATGAAGCACAAATGTGATACCGAATGAAAATTTAAAATCAGCACTTTCAATAGAATTCTTCCGCTTGAATTACAGAGCTGAGGGACAAATAATTTCTATGGAATTATACCATCATTCTGATATTGTCTGGAACAAATGCCAAGGGTTAATAAGCCGAGACATGTTTAACTGCCTGTGCTTAATATTATGCTTGTTTGGTGAAATTCTTTAGCACTTGGCTCTCTGCATCCTGCGTAAGTCATTTAATCGATGCGTTATTGATTTCTGTTTTTTTTGCTAGTGTCAGCCTAATTACAAACAAGTCATAAAATGACACGACTTGATGACAAAATCAATCCCCTCGACTTTGTTTCCATCTCTCCACCCACCCTCTCCCACCCAGCCTCCCCTAGTCCTCCCCACATCATTTCAGTTCTTTCAGTACCCTCATTTCAAAACGGTTTGGCAGAAAGGAAAACATAGGCGACATAGGCCTGCCTCTATGGAGCAAGCTCAGGGCTCCAATAAGGATTGATTGTGTTGTCTTGCCAAAGGAGCTGAAATGTCAGCAGTCTGGGGGGGTGTTGTGCGTGTGAGGTGCTGAGCTCCCCTGTGGAGTACCCCAGTGCTGGGGAGTAGCGAGGCTTCAGAGGATGTTAATTAGATTCTGTCATTTTTCCCGTCACATCGCGGTGTGACTCATAAGCCAGCGAAAGGAACCGACAGTTGCGTGGCGATTATGACGAAACCTTCAGCGTCAGTGAAGAGTAAAAGTGTAAAAACAGGTAGCCGTGCAGCATGTCAACAGTGTCACCAGTGTTAACACTGGACGTGCTGTGCTGTCATTGCCGTGTAATCACACCTTTCTAGGGAATCTCTTGAAGTGATTCTTCTGCAAAACATACCACAATGCAGGGTGAGAGCGGAGGAGTGAGAGGGAGAAATGCAGCACTGCTGTATGCTCTAATCAGCATTATCCCACTTTGCATTTCTCCATGTGATCATCCAAAGGGGATTACAAAACTCATGAATTTACATGGCCTCACCTCCCACTTAATGAACCCTGATAGGCCGAGTGGCGAGGGGCTACCACGGCGCTATGGTAACAGTCGATAGGGTGTTGCATATCTGCCCCTGCCTGGTGTGTGTTTATTCCCTCTAAACGCCCTGTTTACTTCTCTAGCTGCTCAAATGTCAGACCTGTCACTCAGAGCCCTCTCCGTCATCAGGCCTAATGCTTGCCAGCCACTCCACTTCTGTTTATCTACCCGCACAGGTGGCTTTTCCTATACCAGAATCTCAAATCACACATTCAGGCACTGCTTTCTGCCCTCCCAGCTCTCAGTCTTGCCTTTGTAGCGCAGAAAACATCCATTTACACTGACTGCCTTTGCACTTTTTAGCCAAAATTCAGGCATGCTCAGTCTGACCCTTTCCTTTTTCTTCATTTGATCTGCAGGGCAAACATATAGAAGCAAACAGTGATTGTTTCAAAACTCTATTTAAGTATAAAATTGACAATAAACTCTTTAAATGGTCAGAACCCACCAGCAGGTCCACATTTTTATTACACACTACTGCAGTTGCATGCTGGTAAGTTAAAAATGATCTTCTATAGAGAACACACTTTAATATGGCAAATTTAAGTGCAGAATTTCTATTTACCTGATGAGTTTAACATGTTGGTCAAGAATAACTACATAAAATGTACCATAGTGTGTCACATTTTGTGTTTTAATTGTATTTTTTTCAGTATGTTAAATTCAGCAAATAAACAGAAATTGTGCACTGAAACATGCAAATGTGTGTTATCTGTAGATGATGATGTCATTTTCACTTAGAAAATGAACAAAACATGTTATAGTACCTGACATTTTGCATGCAACTGTATAATTTAAGAAGAACTCAATCAGTTTGCTTTGTTTTCCATGTAGTTACCGAGTAATAAGCCGTAAATCTAAAGTATTTATATTATGCAAATTATCAAAAACAAAACTGAACAATATGTAGATAAACCTATGGTGTGTACATGTAAATGCTGTTTCACATGTCAATGTTATTTCTAATTTTATTAGTCTTATATTTACATTTCACACATTCGCACTTGCTGTCAGACACTGCTGGAATTTGGCAAATGTTATGTTATTCATGGTATCGGTACCAGCTGTTCTAGATAATCCATTTGAGTAGCATGATGAAGTTCTGGTGCAGTTTACTAAAATATACTGAAATGCCCAAGTGGTTCTAGATATTAACTGACTAATTGTGGGGTACAATTTACAAAGTGCTTTGTAATTATTTTTGTAAAATGACGGTGCCAAGAAAGTCAAGCTAAGTTATGCTGAAATGATTAACAGGTTCAAGCTGCTAAGCTGATGAAGGACACAGCTAAATGCATGAGTTATTTGGAGTAACAAGTAAAATACTTACAAGGTGGTAAACATTTACAGCAGGGGTGCCCAATCCTGGTCCTGGAAATCTACGATCCTGCAGAGTTTAGCTCCAATCCTAATCTAACACACCAGATCCAGGTAATCATGGCCCTCAGGGACATCTGACTATATGAGCCAGGTGTGTTGGATCTGAACTCTCTGGGATGGTAGATTTCCAGGACCAGGATTGAGCACCTCTGACTTACAAGGTGTTAAGTATAATAAGGCTAAATTTTGCTATAATGTTTAAACCGGAAAATAAATCAGACGGGCTTCCAAGTTATATGGCATAAAATGACGGCACAACATACAAAAATAGTTTTTGAAGTAAATGGTAAATAAGTAATAATAGTTTATAAGACTTTTCATGTACAATCTTTTTTTACTTCCTGCTATAACTACCTGCTACTTTTCACCCCAAATAATTACACAGTAGTGTGGAGTTTGTACCTCACACTTACTCAGTTAATAGCTAGAACCTGTAGGGCATTTCAGTGTAATTTAGCTAGACTGCCTTTTCATTTGCCGTATGTGACATACAAACACTGTTTTCAATCATATAAAACCAATTTTGTTACAGGTATGTACAA